TTTTTGAGTCAGAGTCTCACTCTGTCACTCAGGCTGGAGTGTAGTGGAGCAATCTCGGCTAACTGCAACCTCTGCCTCCCAGGTTCAAGAGATTCTCCTGCCTCAGCCTCCTGAGTAGCTGGGATTACAGGCGCATGCCACCATGCCCAACTACAAATTTCTCCTTTTTATAAAGATACAGTCATATTAGAGTGTGGTTCACCCTGATAACCTTCTTATATGAGTACCTCAGTAAAGACCCTCTTTCAAATAAGGTCATATTCTGAGGTACTGGGGGTTAGGACTTCAACATTACCTTTGTTGGGGGATACAGTTTAACCCATGGTTCTCTACTAAGAAAGCCACTTGATATATTCCAAATCCTAAGTTAAGTGATTTTTTTAAATGCACATGGGTTTGGCCCACACCACCGTGCCACCTCCCACAGGCTTGGACATTAAGACCTGATATACAGCAACATCTTCAGAGCAGACTCAATAGGGTTTCCACACTCCTGGTTTGAGGACCACATCCTTGACTACCTCCATGAGTGAACTGGCTTTCGTATTCCGTTCTGGAGGTTGTGTTAATATACCTGATATGTGCCAGTAGATTTTTCATAGGTGATGGTAACACATGTGGCCCACTGCCTGTGGGACATACACTTAAAATTGCCTTTTGACCTCTGCTGCAGGGTTTCATGGATTTTTCTACTCTCCATCCAATGGAACCTATGTAACACATTTAATAATTCATTGACAAAGATTTATCTGTAGTCTATGGTTTAGGACCGGAAACTCTCTTCATCCCTCTTAAAAAGTAAAATGCCTGTGATGTTGACGTTAAACTTGAAAACTTTTGGTGAAATTAGTGGGTGGTAAAAGTTGCTACTCTTTTTATCATGTAGCAACCCTCAATTTCAGTGGTTAAGCTTAAATCCGTGATGCCCTTCTTTCCGTACTCAACTGGTGGTCATAAAACGTAATTTATTTGAAATACTAATGACTGTTAATAACCACCCTTTACTGTGTGCACAGTATGTGTGAGGAACTGTATTAAGCACTTAGTATGTGTCATATCCTTTTGTCCTCACAACAAACCCATGAAGCAGACAGATGCTCCTAGCTCAGTTTTACACATAGGGTAACGAGAGTTAAATAACTTGCCCCATGTTGCCTAGCTAATAAGGAAAGGAAGCAGATTTGAGGTCAGGACTGTCTTGCGCAAGCACCTGAGCTCTCCAGTTAATAGTTTGTATTTTTCCAGGTGTTATTTCACACCATAGTCTACTAAGGTGATGATGCTGCTGTTATGTGGCTTTTGGAGCAAACTGAAATTCCTCACAAACACACTCTCATCATTTCTTAAAGTAGTCTTTCCAGGTGTGAGTAGCAAGTATTGTATTTATCCTGCCACTGGGAAAACAGAGGGACAGACAGTCCCATCA